ATCACTTCTTTCAATTTAGTCACTCAATTATGATACTTGCAATATTACTCGTGCCAAATTTGCTGGCCAAACATATCAAAAGGTAACAAATTTTTAAATTTGGTGTTAAACTTTGGACTGAAGTAGATTACATGCATGTTTAGTGATTGAGATTAAGGAAAATAAATCTTGGAGGGTCACAATTTGAAAATTCACCCATCTCTCAAGGACCAAAAGGGGATTTTTCTCAGTACCTTTCCATTACGATTTCTAAGGTCAATATTTTCTATTTGATATGTCCACTTCTGATAACATCTCTAACTGTCCATCTCAGTTGAAGATTCAAGGGGAAAAGACTGGACGCAAAGGTCATCTGTCTGTAGTTACTGAGGTAAATGATTCTCAAGTGTTTCTTTTCTGATATCCAAGGGTGCATGTCAAGTTTGACTGTAATCAGAATAAATATGACTTATAAATTAAATATGTTTTCTGTTCATTGCATGCGGATATTTAAAATCATCCTTTTCAAAAGAGACACATTACTTGAAAAAGTATTTTTGACCGTCTAGCTTGAAAAAGTATATACTGTCCATGTGTTTGGAAAATATCACTCCAATGAGTAGTAGATATAATCGAAATAGATAATTTAGTTTTATATTCGATGTCACATAAGGGACTCATGAATAAATAGTGGTAGATGATTCTGGTTTTATACGGTGTGTTGATTCTAAGGGTTTTGCTTTCACTTCTGTTTTTCAGGTCTTTGAGGTGGCCCCGTCACTTTGTATGGTCGAGCTTCGCAAAGCTGGAGGAGATACTTTGGAATTTCATAAGGTAAGATTCATATTCACAACTAATTGTTGTATTTGCCTATCTGAGTGAAATTATACCTGCTACATCATAGCAGAGGCAGAGCAAAATTATTTGGAGCTCTTGTCGGACAGATGTCTACCTCAAAAATCATAAACTTTTGTGTGTGTCTGTAATATTTTGGTATTATATCATCACATCTTCTGAAAAAAATTATAGAGTATTGGTATTATATTCTCATCTCTGTAAAATACAAACCCTTCGGACCCACACATGTTAATGCTCCCACTGGCTTTAGGATGCTGGTTTCACTATTCTATCATATTAACTTCTAACTCTTTCACCCTAATATAATAGAGAAGATAGGTAGGTGGAAGACAGGTAGAATAAGACGATAGATAGGCAGAGAACAGAGAGTAGAGAGTAGAAGACAGAACCTGAGGAAATCAAAATGACATTTATAAAATGATTCAACCTGGCTACGATCAACTACCCAACCCCTTTACTTAACAATCACAGCCCTCTATAATGGATATTAACCACCCACAGCCACTAACACACACCCCTTAACATCATTAATACTGTATCAATACTCCCTCTCCCGAAAAAGCCTTGCCCTGAAGGATCAAGACCTTTAAAATCTAGTCTAGAAAAATTCTTGAAATCAAATAAATGATAAATTACATTGTTGAAATTCGTACAAATGGACCCAAGTGGCATCTTCACCAATTTCCCTCTAAACCATAACAGAACAAGATGTTAAGCAGGGTCCCATTGCTCACATCATATTGATTTTAACCATTGTATTTCAAAAGCCTGGTCACACTCGTGTGGGAATAACAAGTCTGTAATAATTTCCTGTCCTTCTTGTCCTTTAGAAGTTGCCTCTTGGCCTATTGCTGTGGTAACAACAGCTGGTACACCAGACTGCTTAATCAACTTTTTCTCCATTAGGCATTTCAATTTCCTGCCCATTTGGGAGTCAGAAAAATCATGGGAACCATGGTTTCTTTCCAAAATCCATCATTGACCGCTACACCCTTGGTGAATTTCTTGTCATGTTCTCTCGTTTTCTTTTCTCTTTTTGTGCAACTGATCAACTGATCCTCCGAAGAAACCATTCATGGTACCTCCTCTGTCTGAGGAAATGCCACTTCTTGGATTGCAATTCTCTGTGTCCAATAATGTTCTTGGCTTGAATAATCTTACATTTTTTGCTATGTCCTCTTCCAATCTAGCTGTAAGCAATCAATCAATTGATCTTCGGACAACTATACCCTGCAAGAAAGATAATCGAAAGCATCTTGCTATTCTTAGCATTTCCATTTTGTCTCAGCTGCAACAATTCTTGTTGGATAATCTCTTTCTTTAAGAAGTTCTTTCACAGGAATAATAATCACCCGTTCTTGAAAGCCCAACACCCTTCTCACTGGATTCGAGCAACCTCATCAGCTGTTCAAGCTTCCTTTTTGCCACTTCTTGAATTTCTGATAGCTGCTGCTGCATTCTTGACGGACTTTGCTCCCACCAACCCGTACTTCAATGGCTGGTGAACTGTTGCTCTGATGCCACTGATATGATAGAGAAGATAGATAGGTAGAATAAGAGAATAGAGAGGATAGATAGGTAGAGATGAGAGAAGAGAGAACTAGAGGAAATCAAAATTCCATTTATAAAGTGATTTGACCCCATTATCCATGAACCACAGCCCCTCTGTAATGGATAATAACTATCAGCTGCCACTAATTAACTCCCCTTGCGTTCATTTATATGGCATCACATACTTTTAAGTCTCAAATTTAAAATATATAGCAATGCTCTATTTACAAGTGATGGATGATATAGTTCATTGGTAAGAACTTCGTGCAATATTTGGAGGCCCACCTAATTACACGTAAATTATACCTGTTCGACACCTACAGAAGTTTGGATTTCAGGATGAGTTTGATATCTTTGAGGCAGCCATGCTTGTCTTGTATAAAGCAAATTTCTTTTAGAACACAAGTGCGGGTGTCAAAGTTGAGAAGTCTGGTTTCCCGTGGATAAATTCAATTAACAAAATTGTTTGTTTGTCTTGCATGGATCCTTCATGTTTTTCCAAACTAAATCGTGCATATGCTATGTGAATAATCAATTTTGGAAGTCCGAAAAAGCATGAAATCTATTCTGCCTTAATTGGCTGGAGCTAAATATACCTTTCACTATATGACTTATTTTAGCTTGAATTTCGACCTTACAGTTCTACAAGAATCTCTCCGCTGGACTGAAAGACGTTGTCTGGAAAGCGGATCCCATTGATGAAGAACCTAATGGTCAGTATTGTGACCTTCGTCATATCTATTGAAGTGTTGATTGCTTGATAAGAGTTACTTAGTTGATTTTCTTAATCATAGTCATTAGATTTTATTTGACTTATTTTCAACTTTTAAGAAAATTACATGTAATTTAAAAAACAGAAATCATAATTTTGTGTAACTTCATAATAGTTTTTCTGAAACTTAATGGTAATTTTATTAAAATTCTTTTAAATTTTAACGGTAACTTTGATTTTTTTAAAGTAATTACTATAACTTTGAAGATTCATACTTTTTGGTGGGAAAATGAGCCTTTAAATAAATACACGCGCACGCACACACACACACCAATTTGAAGGTCTTTCCTATACTTGGAACGAAAGAAAATATATGATTTTGTTGGCTATTTTTTAACGGGACGTCTCAATTTTTTGTATGTACAGGGGCGAGAGCATCTACATAATGGAATCTCGAATCTGTGATTGTATTGTACATATGCCTTGTTGTTGGAGAGGTGCGACGAGTTGCTTGTAATGAACTGTATGTGATGGTTTGCCATTTTTTCAGACAATCTAACACCTCCTCGCCACATGGGAGGGGGGACAAACCCCTATATTGGCAAATGGGATATAGAACGCAATAAGCTCTTGGCATGATGGTTTGTGATTGAATTTGAAAACGATTGCTTTTTATTGATACAATAAATTGATTGGATAAAACTCATGATGTGTAATTATTTAATGTAAATTTTGTGGACTGAAGAGAGATGACAATCAGTCTGAGACATGGAAATGAAAGTGTGGTGATAATGTTGGATTGTTGATTAAAAATTCCTGTGGCTGTGATGGTTTCTATGCTCTAGAATTTTCGAATAAGGAAAACAGTGATAGAATGCGAGAATATTGCAGCTTGAAAAGGAAGAGAAACATAATGAAAACAGGAAAAAAAAAAAAAAGGGAAGAAAGAGGAAAGGAGTGTTTTGAATATTCTTTAGATGGGAAAATAAATTGTCCTTGTAATTGATGTTTTGTAGCTTTACAAGGACATGGCTATATATACTCATTGATTTTTTTTTTTTCCAGTGAATGTGAAGAGGTTTTTTTTTTTAAAAAAAAAATGTGCATGAAGAGATTTTTAATCAAATTGAATGATCTCCCAGCAACCTCGTAGCCCCTAAAACTTCAATGAGTATGATTTTACAACAAGAATTTTAGTGCATTCATGTTAAACAATACTGATCTCATATTTTACAAGTTTCGATGTGTGTTTAATAATTTTCAAAGCCAACTCAATTTTTTCAATGATTTGATAATTAAGTGTTTTCCCGAGGCAACTCGTTTTTTCCCCCTCAATTTCAGTAATTTAAGAATCTTTAAAGCTAACCTACAGTCATATCCTTTTACAAGCGAAGTTGACTAAAACTGATAAAGATGGCATTATTTTTCTTTTTTTTTTTTTTTTACCAAAATGATTTATTTTCTGCCGAAAATAATACTTGTACTGTGCTATTGACATTCACAAAGAATGACGAGTCACAATAAAATAGGAAGGAAATTGCAAAAACAAATTGAAAATATTATTACTAATATTTATTCAACCACGGCCCAAGCTCATGAAAAATACTGGCTATTAACATCACGTGCCACTAGTGGCTCCTTCTGAAAACATCCATCCAAAGTCAAGAATAGATTCATATCCGGCTAAAAACATCTTGCTTCGCAACACTTATGCACTCATATTTTTTTCGAAAACGAGAGAGCAATTCATGTATGTTTCATCACTAACTGAAGCACAAGTTGTCTTTAGGCTACATTTTCTCACTTTCATTACAATAATCCCTCAACTTATAATATTGCTCCTTATAACCTCCGTTACCTATGCTCTTTCCCTCACCATATATGCTTTCTACAAAGACACATCAACCATGTAATGGTCCTTAATGATGCAATTACATCCACCAACTTTTTTTATTTGTCTTCATAGTGTTTACTATCCTCTCCAAGATCCACTTGTAAGTGGCATTCTTTCCGTTTATGGATAGCCTATATGTGTGTTTAGATCTTCAATCGATATGACTTATTTGTGTATATTTCACTTGGCACTTCACCTTACCACTTTTTATAGACTTCACTTCATATCTATTGAGCAAGGCATACTCCGTAATGCATCTTTAGACAGACCAACAAAAGTGAACTCCATCCATAATTCCAATTGAAACTCTTTACACATCTTGGATGGGTTTGATGTTTGGTTGTTCACCAAAGCCACTCTCTCATCCTCTTCTCTTTATCAACTTCATCAAGCTCCTCAAATTCATGATAAGATATCATAGCTAAAATCTCTTCACCTCTCACCTCAACTAAGCTATTTTGCTCTGGTTCATCAGGCTGTAGTCTCATCAATTGTGAACTACAAACTACTTCATTTAATATATCACATACTTTAATATCAACATATTGCCTAAAATAATTATTATCCATATATTCTTCTTTACTATTCTCAAATTTTGATAGACGCCCTCCAAACCACTTTCTCTCCCCCCTTACTCCACTATTGTCACCACAATCACTTGTCTCTTCCTCCCAATCCACATTTCACCCAGCAACATAAATGAACAACTAAAAAAATGCATCTTCATAATAATAGCTAAACAATTAACAAAATAGCACATTTTTGTAGAAAAGCATAGCATAATACAAACCAACAAAAATGCCAATGAACTCAACAAATTGAATGTGAAGAAATTAGAGTAACAAATTTAACCAATAAGTTGTTGGTTGAGGTGGTAGTAGCCTCACCCCTTAAAAAGAAAAACACGAGTTCGAATATCAGGAAGCGTACTTATTAGAAAGGCTACTCCTTAACCATTCAAAGTTTGAAATGGATTAATTTCAAGTACAATGTGACAATACTTTTTGCTTTAGTCTACTACTTCAAAAAATCATAGCAATGGCTTCAGAAAGGTCAAAACACATAACTTGTTACTTACCTTTCAGTGGAGTGAAACGCCCCCAAAATGTGATCACAATTCTTCCGTCACCGTTTTTAGATGTTTGTCAGTTAGCTCCCCAACTCTGGTTGGCTCCCACGACCACCAATGGGGACCTGCTTTGATCTAGCCCCACTTCCTTTCCCTTCTCTAGTCAGATGGTTTCATACTCCTTGCATTTCGTTTTGATGCCCTTTCCCCTTTTTTCTCAATTACTTTTTTATTGGTCCACGTTTTCAAATAGGAGGGAGCTGTGTGTTCCCTTTTGCATCAGTTATTATTTTAGTGGTTTTAACTCAGCTTCTTATTTATTTTTTAAAAGCCATGAAAATTAATTTTAATTAAATGTTTCATAAAATGAAAAAATAATAATCTGACTGATTACACTGGACTTCGGGGGAGCTCAGAACATGCTTAGCTTGCTTATTAAAAACAATAAAATTTTTGGTCCTCAAGTTTGTTTTTTATTTTAATTTTGGTCTTTTAAAATTCAAACCATAAGTTTCAGTCTTTCAAATTTATTTTCATTTAAAATGTTGGCTCCTATAATTTAATAAATTCTTGGACTATTTTGCTCCTTGAGTGACTAAAACAAACTTGAATTGCCAAAACCAAAATAAGACCAAGGACTAAAGATTATGTAAACATAAAAAACAATAAGATGTTATCGAAAAATAAAAAATTCAGGACTTGTTTGTTTTTGTTCTTTGTTTTCTTATTCTTAATACAATTTTATAAAATTGTTTTTTAGAACAAGTTTAAAAAATATGTTTGAAAATAACTTTTAAAAAATCACATCTGAAAAAAAATATAAAAAATCACACTTTGAGAGGTGATAGTTGTCACCGGTAATGATAGGTAGCGGGTAGTAGATGAGAAGAAAAGAAGATTTCTCTAATTTTTTAAAACAAAAAAAAAACAAAAGCAAGAAAACATGTAAAAATTGTTTTAGTTTTTAAAACTAAAAGTAAATTTCCAGATAATTTTTTTGTTTTTCTATTTTTAAAAAACAAAAATTTGGTTCTAAAACAATAAACCAAAACAAACCTTAGATCTTAGCGGCCTTTTTTTCTTGAGAAAATTGCGATAAGGTCCCAATCAAGGGAATTAAATACAAAAATATCTCTTGAGATTATCAAATCATTCTTAAGTCCTAAGAAATCTTATTAATAAATTGTAATTTGGTAATTAAACAAATAATTTTTTTTTAATTTGCATTGACAACTGAAAGAGCAGTTGTTGATAACTTAAAGTGTAAAGATTAAAAACTATCATGGTAGGCGATATTGACAACTCATGCATTACATTTTATGCTGTGTTGAGAAAATGTGTTGTTAATACCTGCCGTGATAGTTGTTAATGGTGGTGCTAGTGCTTTTATCAAATTAATAGAGAAATCAGTGTCTGATTTACTTTAGTAATTGATAATGAACCATCGAAAGTTGCTTCATGTCAATTTCATGGTCTATGAACTGTGATTTTATAATTCATTATTCGTTGTGGTTCAGATTTATGGTTTCTCAATGCTATTTTTCTTTGAAGTTTCCATGTAATGTGCTTTTCATTCTGGGGGTCAAATTATTTTTTGCACTTGGCTGTCTCTGAATCTGTCAATTTGTCATATGACTCATTAATTGTGGCGAAACAAATACTATAACTCAAGTGCAAACTATTAACAACTCATTGTAGTATTTATTTTTATTTCCTGTGTAGCCTTGGGGTTTCATTTGATCATAGTCATGATTTTGATCATCACTCTCTTTGCATATTTAATATTGCAGTCTCTTCTTTAACATACTCTGCGTGTAACTTGTTTTCTCTTCTTTCTCATCACTTGCTATTTGGGTTTAGTTTTTGTGTTTTTTAAACGTGCATTAGAGGGCCTTAGGCCAACTGGCTAAAGATGGCACTTGCTGCCTGGTGAAAATATTATTGTTGGCTTTGAGGAAGAAAGTTCCTTTTAATGGAGTCCAACATTAATGACCTGTATTTTGAATTTTGGGGTTCTTTGATAATTGACACTGGTGTAAATTAAAATCAATTTTGCATCATTAAATAACTTTCTGATTAATGATGAGTCTCTTAAAAATACCATTATTGGAATGGACGTTAACGTCATGAATATCTTCTTTATAAAATATTATATTGGTTCAAGCTTGTTTTGTATTACATTGTCGCATCAAGTTATCATAAAAAGATACGAATTTGTGGGTTGGAGGTATGAAAAAAGAACAAGAGACTTGCTTATATTCTTTGTCATCTGAATATTGTTGGCATCTTCTTGCTGCATATGTGAACTTTCTGACAATTATAAAAGTGCTTGGTAACCCCCCAAAAGCATTTAAGAAAAACGTGTTCATGCAAAGCGAGACAAAATTCCGTTGACATATATGTCTTATACATTATAAAATCACTTCTAAAAAGTTAAACCAAATATCAATTACATATTAAATTTTTGGCTACGTGAGTTTTTGCTCTGAAGTGCAGTATGATCTGTGTTTATAAACTGCCACACATGCATCTTTCTCTTTTGTCAAGAGTCTCTCATTTTCTTTCTCATGTATGGCCTCCCAAGCAGTCTTCTTTCTCATGCAGCACCATTGGCAGTCCTGCTTTTGCCAATTCATAGGCACAGACCAGACCTCTAATCCCCGCACCTACCACTCCCACTCTCTTCATTTTGCATCTTGTATTCTCTTTGAGAATAATGATGGTTGATCTTTATTAATTACAAATGTTTCTCGCTTATCACTAAAGGTGTCTTCTAGATCAGGTAGTGATGCTAGATGTTGACTGTGTGAAGTTTTTTCTGTGGTTGTGAATGTAAATTAAGTTGAGTAT